ATGAAAAATAAATCACTTTTTTATATCAGAAAGTACAAAATAAAAAATATATTTTAAATATTATATTTGATTGAAGTACTATATTTTTGCTTATAGGTACATTTTAGATTTTGTTTAAAATTATGAATGTATTGGTTTTATTAAGTCTGATATACTTTTTGGAGGAGAAAATTGCTTCAGTCTTCAATGTTGATGATTTTTGATAAAACATTTGATAAAATCAAAAGGCTAAAAATAATAAAATTCCTATATTTTTTTAGTTTGGAAAAAAAATAGTTCCATCTGCTGTACATTAAATGTCGAGTAGATTATTATTATAGGTCTGTTAAATTTAATTTCAATGATATATTATTGTATACGATAGACAATTTATTTTGAATGGAAACAGTCTATCAGCCTATATTAACAAGTAATAATGTTTTTGTTTTTGATATAGTTATTAAAGTCATTTATTTTAGTTTTAGTATTAAAGTAAGTTAATATATTTTTTTCTAAAAATATTGCATTTATTATATTTTTAGTATTTAATTATTATAACAACATGTACTTTTATCATATTATATCAACTTATATAATTTAAAATTTCATAACAAGTTTCTGTAAAACAGTGAAAATAGATTCATAGAGTAAATAAATAATATCATAAAATAAAATAAATCAAAAATGATATTGTATGTAAATTAAAAGTTATGATAATATAATATACATTTGTTTTATTTTTCCATGAATAATGTTTTCAAATAATTACAACAAAATAATTTTCATATCGTTTTTATTGTTTAAATAATTATTTCTTCCAAAATAATTTTAGTATGTCTATTAAAAATAACAGTACTTACATATTTTCTAAATTTTATTGTTTTTATATGAACTACTTAAGAGGAATCTTATAAAAAAAAAATTTTAAAAAAATGATCATATAAACAATTATTATAAATTTTAAGTATCTATTGTTAAGTTATGAAACTTATTAAGAATCTTGTATTAAATTTTTGAACCTTGGATATAAAAATAAAAAATGAAATTGTTATAAATTAGTAAGTCTTAAAAAATTTTTTTTTTTAAATTTTACAAGAAATATAAAATTAAGCATAACGAGTTTATGTGAGATAGGTAATATGAAAACATTAATCGAGTTATGTGAATAAGGAGCTACCCATTAGTACTTAGCTTGGAGTTGCGTTATAATAAGATTAAATTGAATTATCTTTACACCATTTTTTTAAGTCTATGACGTTGATTTCCAAGAAGTGACAGGATATATGTAAGCCTTTTATTAGTGAGTTTTCATGATAAATCTTCAAAATTTAAATACAATAAGAAAAGTTTTTCTGAACTTTTAACTATAAAATAATTTGTAATTTTTGCAATTATAACGAACTTCATCAAAATTCTAACATCAAAGGCATATAAAAGAATAATATTATTTTGATTAAACTGTAAAATCTTAGCATACCTGCGTATTGTTTGAAAAAAAAAAATAGTTGAACTACATGTCTTTTAAGCGTAGTCAGAGGTAGGAGAAAAAATCCTTCAGCGTCCCCTTACTTTAACCTTTTATTATATAATATAATATTGTTATTAAATTATAACATAATATTGAAGTATTGTAGAACAATATAAATACATTTTATAGTATAAATAGTTGAAAATTAGTTTAATTATTTAAATTCTAAATGGAACGATAAATATATTAATTTTACAACTATGTGTGTTTTTCTATTTTCACCTCTTGGGCTGTAAAAAAAAAAATGCTTCGTTTTTCAACTTTGGGAGTAGTTTTTGATAGAAAATTGTATCTAGTTGGTACTTTAAATCTTAAAACAATTTTTTTGATTGTTTAAATATTTTTAGGCATAAAAAATTTTTAATTTTTAAATTTTGAATTGCATTTTTAATCATTTTGATTGAAAAGTTAAAATGTAATTAACATTAATAGAGAAAAAAGTGTGTAAAAGTGTACTGCTTTGTTGTACATAAGACATCAAGTAAGATGTCATTGTAAATTGCTATGGATGTGTTTAATTTGAGTTTAACCATTGTATACGAAATATAATTCTAAAGTGAGAAGCAGGTATTTGATTCTAAGATATATTATATTTATGAAAAACATTGATTGAAAATTTTATTTTGTATAAAAAAAAAAAAAAAAAACAAACAAAATAAAATAATTTTAAATTGTTAATTTTTATAGTATGATATAATATATTATTGTTATCAACTATTAAAATTTATAAGTCAATGCAATTATGTACAGCGTGAATAAATTTATCGTTTTAAATACTCGTATTCATGTAGTTTAAAATTATCTACCTAATCTAAATATTATGAAAAATGCTATTAAGTATAGTAGAATAATTTAGCTAATTTAGGCATAACAATAAGTTCTAAGTTCTTAAAAATAATATTTTAAAATAACTACAATCAATAAATTCTTATACAATTTTTAATTTTGACTCCTTAAAATACCAAATAAATAAATTCTACCAGAAAAAATGTTAAAATTGAAAATCGAAGCATTTTTACTACTCTAAAAAGTAAAAAGTTATGAAAGATATAAAAAAGAAGAAAACACATTATATTGATATGTTTTGACCATAGTCTAAAAGGGTACACCTCAATTTTTATATATTAAAAAAAAAATATTTACTTTGAAAATTAAAATTTTGATTAGACATAGCTTTAGCACTGAATAGATCAGATTTGGTACTAGATATTCTAAAAAGTAACGTAACACTCACACACATTATTATAAAACTAGTACAATTATCTTAATCTCTATCTAAAATCAGAAATAAAGTTTTAAAATATTTTCATAAACGTATAAAGTAATATTAAAGACAGTCGTGTAATACAACGTATCCTTGAAATCTTAAGTCTTAAGTAGTTATCACTAATATTTTATATTTTAGTAAGTACTATTTTTTTGGACTCCAAGAATATTATACAGTTGTTAATAAACTGAATTCGTCTACTTTCACCAATGTTTTATTTTATTTACTTTCACTATTTCTGCATATTTATATATCATGTAATAACCACTATTATCAGTAACACAGATATTATGAATAGTATATACTATTAATATGAATAAATTAAAAAGCACATTTACGTTTAGTAGTCACCTGTAATAAGTTTAAACTTAAAATCAACACATCTCGCGTAATTTCCTTTTCTAAATATCAACACACAATCAAATATCAAGAATAAAACAAATTCTTATATTATTTACTAGTGACACTCACTCTGATATAATACTAAACTTAAATCTTAATAGGATATAAAACAAAATTAATCGATGGTAAAACCGCGAACCTAGCAAAAAAAAAAAAAAAATAGAAAAGAAATCCTTATGAACCGACTTCGAACAGGTCATATCCACCAATATAGTTATTTGTCGAAGAACTTAATATACGTGACGTCTCTTTATAATTAATCATAATTTTATAAAATGTAAAAAATTCAAATTACATCTAAATATCAAGATAAAATTTATTTATTTTAATTTATTAATAAATTTGTATTTTATAATTGAAGAGAAATTTAACGCAATAATTATTAACATATATTTTATAAATTAATGGACAAATCACTGATACATAAATTTTTTTTTTTTTTTACATATTTTTTATCTGTAACAAAATTTGAACGATAAGCTCAATTGATATAATAATAACATCATAGGAATAACGGATATAAAAGAATTTCCATTGGAGGAACTTTGTCGGGATAGGTACGAGTACATAAGTTAAGAAAATATTACATATAATTATTATATTAGTTAAATGTATAATATTTAGTAATGTAAGGGATATATTATTATATACATAATAAATATTTATATAAAAATAATAAAATATACATTATATATATTAACAACGATTAGTTTTATTTTTATTCTATCTACATAGCAATATAAGCAAAACGATTTAATTATTCACAATATGTTACTATAACTATTAAATTATTCAAAGAATTATTAAAAAGTTGACACAAACTATTTTATTTATACATTTGTTTACAGTTTTTACTACGACTCAGTGTCATATAAATATCAAAATTCACTATTTTATTTATTATATACACATTCTGACAATTTATTATTTTGCGCGTCACCTGATCATAAATGCCTAGTAGATAATATATTGTTTTTTGATAACTAGTAAACACAATTCAAGTATATAGTACATACATCGTGTATATTGACATAGTTATAACTGTTCCCTCTTCAGTTGTTTGTATGTGCTCAACATTCCAATTGTAGAACGCTGAAAATAATTTTAAAAAACGAGCTGTTTCTATATTTTCTGTAATTTTTATTTTTTACGACGTTTTTATAAAAAAGATAAATTTTGTTTAAAATCAACATGGCCAATAGAATATTAAAAGTTGTTCTAATAATAATCCTGTAATAGTGTCGCAAAATAAACCTTTCGTCGATGCGTCGTTTGGAAAATTAGTCGAAGACACGTTTGGCGTAACAGTGTCTCATAAAATGGTCAACATTAAACACTGAAAAAAATACTAATTAAATATTCTACTATTATAGTAATCGTGGAATAACTTTAATATGAATTATGCATGAATTACGCATATAAATTGTAAATTTAAGTATACGGAATACAAACGCAAGTATGTTTATTCTCGATTTGTTATTGAGATATTTTGACATTCGACGACTTACGAAATATACGGAAATAAGTAACGTTTCTCGGCCAAACGATGCGCAGTAGTCCTGTTCGTATATAATATCGATAAATGAACGCGTCCTGCATGTCCTTAATGTTTTCACGTATACCGTGATAAAGTGCAAAAAATAACCTATTCGGAACACGCACGCACGCATACACGCCTGCATTACTACAATAACCGACGTTTATTATTATTATTATTATTTTCATTGTTATTTTGTTACTATCATTATCAACACGATTATCACTACCTTTTTTTATTATTATTATTATTACTATTACCAGGTACCCACTACTATTACTACTACAGTTGTACTACTACCTACTACTATTACTACTACACGGCAACAGCGCCATCAGCTATCGTTGTGTACCGATCCGCGCCGAGTGTGACAGGTGGCCGTGACGGCGGCTAACGTTGTCTAGTAACTACACGAAAACCGATAATACCGGTTTAGCCATCACTTTCTACCGAAGAGTTATCCTGGTCAGATGGTGTTGTGTCTGCACATACGCCGCGAGCGCGTGCGGACGTGAATGTTGCGCAGTCGTTCGCTAGCCTCGCGCCGCGTAGCCTACTAAGTGTTGACGGTCGTTCGGTTCGATCGGATATTTCCGCCAACGTTTTAATATTATTTCATTCGAGAACTTTTCGCGACCCCAACGCGTTCCGTAGCCGATCGTCCGTTCGTAATCGAACAAAACGACGACGACCAGGTCGTCTCCATAACGATTTTCGTGTGCCATTGCATTCAACCGTTGCTGCGTATCGAAACACTTTACAAGTAAGGCTCGACAAAAACGGTTCACTATTACCTACATTATTATTATAATAATAATATTGTTTATTGATTTTCGTGACTTTTTTACTGCGGCGTGGATAATGCGCGTTTGCTGTATTATATATAATAATATTATGTTATTTTATCGATCGACACAGTGCCGGACTCGACAAACACTGATGACGCCGCGGCCAAGAAGTTCAAGACTATTATGGAAGAGGGGTGCAACGTGCCGGTTGACACCACACGACCCAAAAACGTTCCGGAATGGTTCGATGCGGAGTTGTTCAGCAGGTAAAAAACCATCTCATTAGTCACCACTGTCACTTTATACATTTATAAGTAACGCAATCAATTTTAAGAAAAATATATGTGACTTAAATATAATAATTATAACACATGATATTTAGTGTACAATGATTTCAAGAACAAACGAGCTAGTCGAATTCTTTCATAAATGTCAAGAATATTTCTTTATAAGTATACTTATGTTCTGTACACTATATTATGTATGCTTTATTCGTATGATTATTGTAACGAGCCAAACGTTTAAAAAAACTGTTAGTTTTTATTTCGTTTGTAAATGATGCAGACCACACCTATAAAAATATCCTTGCCACATATAGTTATATGCAACTATATTGACATATATTTTACCCATAGCATAGTTTTTAATATACCAATTCCAAGAACTATAGTAATTAACTTATAATGTGACTATGTGAGTTATAATACCTATTAATAATTTGTTAATTAAGGTTTAGAATATACTTGAATTGTTTTTGTTATAATTACATGTAATACTTACATCCTACAATTCGTACTGATATTATAATAATTCGATTATTCGTATATTCGTAGTTGTACGCAAATCAAATTTCTCAGTAAAGTGTTTTTTTTTAATAAGCCTGATAGGTTATGCATTTAGAATAATAATTATAAAATAGAATGGGATGCATTAAAATTTGTTGTATGAATGTAAAAGAATTATTATACAAGTCATCAAGTTTTACTGAGTTATAAAAATTTAACATGAAACAAAAAAATGTTCTCATAATGGTTAGCAGAGTTAATCAAACGATTACATTTATCAAAAATATGTATTCTATTACTAAAAGTTGTTGCAAAATCATTTAATTAAAATACTTACTTGCTTACTTTAATAATAGATACGATAAATAATTATATGATATATTATATTGTTTATTAAGCGCGGAACGTCGAAAATGTGAAACTTTGAAGTAGAATGAATTATTACCAGCTTAAAATTTTAAAATCATATTTCTAATTTAATAATAAATTAACAAAAACCTATAAGTATAGTCATGCAGGTGCAATAGGTGCATAACGATAAATATAGCAAGCAAACGGTTAATCATTATAACATTTATAAAATAATATTATTAATAACTATATCATTCTCCATTGAATATAACGTATTTTATATACCTACATTTAAAATAGATTAATGTTACATAATAGATCATATTTTAAAATTTCTGCTAAGCAAAAGAGCCGTCAAGTAAATAGCCGTTCTGCTGTATGATAAGTGTCGAATGTAAATAGATTTTGCGTTAAATTGGAAATCAATTTTATTGTATACGATGAAAAACGATTCTGAGCAGTGCAGGAGATAAGAAAAGGACGAAAAGTAGTCGAAAGAATACATTGATTTTTAATTTTGGGGGTGGTTTGAGATAGAAAATTGGATTTAGTTTGCACTTTAAAGAGTCAAAAGTAAAAATTTCCAATATTTTTAAAATTACCAAAAAAATGTAAAGAAAATCTGGAATTTTTACGTAAATTCAGTTTTTGACAAAATTGAATTTTATTTTCTTGGTGTACACTCACAAAATGTTAATATGATTATTTTATGTAAATAATATAGTTTTCATTATTTTTAATTCTTTTGGAGTTAATTTTAGTTTTATTTCTATAAATGTTAATATAAAATGTTCACATGGACAAAAAAAGTTAAAAATGATCCCACATAAGTTAAACTGATAGGTATATAAAAAATTACCAAAATGTTTAAATTGTTTTGCAGTTTAATATTTATAAAAAGCAAAATTTCTATTGTTAAGGTTTGGAAACTTAACAAGGTTCCTTGTAAGTAATTCATTTTTAAACCAAGAAATCTAAAAATTTATAATTAAATTTTTTTTTTGTAGATATTTTAAGTTCAAATATGAATGAAATTGCATATTTAAACTATGGATAATGATAATTATTATTAAAGTTATATGATATTAAAAAAAATTATTTGTGGTCTCATGGGTGGACATAGAATTTCTACGTATATTATTATATTTTATACATACAATGATATTTTAAAATACGAAATGTCGGTAAAAATTAATTCAACATACTATATGATTAGTATTAAATAATAACATTATATGAAATCAACTTAGTGATATTGGCTTATAAACTGTATCCGTTCAGAATCGTTTTCTGTTTACAATGATTTTTCACTAAATGTAATAATTGTTAATGTATTTTGTATTAAAGAAGGTGGTATTCCTTCTCGTTGATGGCCAGATTTTTCCGGGACAAGGCGTTTTACTAAAACCGTTGAGGATACAAATACCTAATATCAGTATTGGTGCATACAGTATCAACTATGTAAATCAAAATGTTTAATTTTTGTAAAGAAAATATAAATTTAAAATAAATCATTATTTATGTTATGTTTTAATAATTTTTATTTGTTTATAATCAGTAGGGCTCAGAAGTCAGAATTTAATACACTTAAAAAGTATTAAATGTGCATGTAATTATGCATGCATAATAGTACATGCTTTAAAACTATGCCTTTTTTATTTTTATTTTACTCATAACTTTTATTAATACAAATATTTTGTGAAAAAATATTTTTATATTTTTTAATTTGTACTAAATATTTAATAATAAAAACAGGAAGTTGTATGCCAACTAAGAATTTAAAAAACGTAGTATAATAATGAACAGTGAAAACCCTCAAAATAAAATATACATTATAAAGTTTTTTTTTTTTTAATTATATATTAAATATATCACTAATCATCAAATATTTTCCTAAATGGTAAAATTAAAAATATGATTTTAAAATTACAAAATCACTAAATATGCAAAAATATGTACTTTAAAATTTTAATATTATTTTCGTGGAGTCATGGAATTAATTTCAAGCTTATTTAGTAATAAATCTTATAGCTCAAAAAAACTATGCAAATGCTATAAATTCCGAGCCCTAATAATCAATAATAGACATTTTGACCTATAATATTTGATTGATAGGTATACGAGTACTTCATATTATCATTGTTGATGTTTTAATTTATTTTGTTTGTCATCGTTCATACATTATCAGTATTAATATTAAACTTTTTTTCATAATTAATAATAAAATAGTTTTGTGTTTATTTTTGAATAATTATTATTAATTATTCTTTCAAATTGACAATTATGATAGTATTTGAACCTCGGTGAGAAACAAACGTACCAATAGTTTGCTTATTATTTCTAATAACATTAATTATAACTTATAATGTATTTTGGATAATTTTATATTAAATTTAATCTAATCAATATTTTGTAGTTATTAATAAAGCCTATTTTTTAATGACCAATAAATATTATAGAAAGTTAATTAAAAATAAAATATTATTTTAAGTGTGAATTTTAATCTTCTTATATCAATATTGTTAATCAACAATAAATAATTAAATTGAAAGTATATTTTATTTGTTAAATAAAATATAAAATATTATACCTTTAACAAACAAAATATTTGAATTAATATTGTTACATAAAATAATAGATTTATGAAAAATAGTTATATTATTACATATTAAATAATAGAGACATAAGGTTATGAGTGTTTTGACTTTTTGAGTTATCATAGTTTCATTGTTTCAAATAGGGATGAAAATTAAATAAATAATCACATGTATGTTAAGATGTTACCCGTTAACCTACATTTTGTAGTAATTAGTTAACTTAAATTTTAACTTTTTATACTAATAACCAATGGTTTAACCTAAGTATCGTTAAATGATCAATCAACAATCATACTTTAAAGTTAATAGCAACGTTTAAAACAATTATGTATATAGTTATTTATTTTAAACGGCTTATAAAATTGTCAACTTGTAGTTTTAGAAACATTTAAATACTAAAATGTTATGGAATACGATTGACTATGCATTTTTTTCGGAACAAATTCTAGTATTACGATTAAGCAAACTTTTAATGTTCGCTTTATTGTTCCTACGTTGATTAAATCGATCGTTTTTTAATATAAAAACCAATTGTGTATTGGTATTATCTATATTTTGTTTGAAACAATAATTTACTATAGTTTAACATTTCATGATAATATGTATTATTTAAGAAATATGCTCTTATAAACATAATTAAAGTTAGTAAGTAGTAAGTATTTAATAATATTTTATAAACAATGTTTATACTTATAAATTTTAAATTCGATTTTCGGGTGATACTGTTAAGTGTCTGTCCATAAATTCTAATAATATATGTCATATATCTTTGATATTAAGTTATAACACTATTAGTGATATATCATCAAACGTATTTATTGTATAATGTAAAACTATGTAAACATTGTAAATAAATTCTTTTTAAATAAATAAAAAAAACAACGTACAGTTAGAAATGTAAATAAAATTAATTTTTAAACACCGATAAAATTTGACTCGTGACTTGACTGTTATATAAACGAATGTAATGTCGTTCTAATCGTATTGTTTTTTTTTTTAGTTCAGTTATGGACTTTTTCTAAAATGTAATTGTGCTTAATCTTTCGATAACCATTTTTAATGCCGACGTTCGTTAAACTCTTAAGTAATAACTAGTGAATAATTACAAATAACATATTATATTACATTTAATTACAGTATTAGTTTGAAGTATAAGCTTCAATACTTAAATTGTTTTGTTACATTCTTGCAATCTATTTAATATTTACAGGTATATGGGTGTACAATAATATAATAAATCATATATTTCACTACGAATTTTATCTATGCTCGACTCCGTTTCAAAGTCGAAAAAGCGTGTCGAGACTTCAAGAGATCTTTTTTGTTAAATAATAGAATTTGAGTTATCGCGAATTAGTTTAATTACCTGAAACTGTATTTTAAAAACCTATTTGATTTAATATCTCTATGTTCGATAGGTTATAATGGCAAAATTTGAGTTTTTTTTTTATAATTTATGTTTGACTCTAGCTATAAAGAATGTTCGGAATAGAATCTATGATATAATAATAAATAATAATAATTAAAATTATTACTTACAGGAGTAAAATGTGTTAGTTTTTATTTATTTTTATTTTTTTGTTTAAGGTTAAGAAAAATGACATTTTTTTATTAATATCTTAAAAAAAAATATTACAAAAATAATTATGTGATTACCGCGAACTGATTAATAATACATAAAAAAAAAAAAATAACTAAAAATACTTTTAATAGTTATACGAATACCTACGCGTTGATTACATATACGTATTAACGTCATGTGAATCATGTGGTTATATCATTACGTTAAAATATAGCATTATTGTGTATTTAATAATAATTTTAAAGTCCTTGAAATTTGTGTAGTGCTTTTATATATAAGTATTATATACTTAGTATATATTATATTAATTATATGAAATTATAGTTTTTAAAATTTCAAGTTCAAAAGTAATTAAAATAACATAAATCAGAAATATATTTTAAAAATGCGTACATTTTTTTTTTTTAATTCGAAATTAATTATAAAATATTTTTAACAACTTAAAATAATTATTTTATTAAAAAGAAAATCAAAATTTGGACATAATGTTTATTTTATATTTTATTTAAAATTTTGCATACAATATAGAGAATATAATATAATTACATGGCTGACGCGGGCGGTAGGAGTGAGCGATTAGAGCCTATGTACAGGGCGCCTGCTATAAAGAGGTTCATTGACAATATTTTTGGGTACCTGAAGGGGTCTATATTATATTTTTATAAAACATACAAATGCATAAAACATAAGTACTTTGAATTCTATTTATAATAGGTATTTATACTTAAAATTATAGAAGTACATTTTCGCGTGGATTAATTTATTTGTTATGTTAATGCAATACCTAATTTATTATATTATATTAAGTCATTAGTTAATTTATGATTATATTCATAAATAAAGTGTTTTACACTTTTATGTGCCTCTAGTAAACATCAGGTATTAAAACAAAAGTAAAATTCATGGAAATAAATTATGATAATATAGAAATGATTAGTATAAGAAAAATAATTCTAAAATGTTTATTTTTATATTTTCAGAGGACAAAAGTATTTTTATTCCAATTTCTATTCAATGTTTGCTTCAAATTTGATTGGATTAATATTGGTATTAACAGTTCCAACAATATTGGATGTATTAGTGTTCACAAATAAATCTTCTGATCCTTATACCGCTTTTAGGAGGTATCTTGATACCATTAGACACATGCTGAGGTGGTATAGATACGACGTGACAAATTCTAAATCAAAGTAAGTGAATATATTTTAATATGTATAATAATATAATTACATAATGTAATATGATGGTATTAACTTACTTAATGAGAATTAGTTTTTTAATTATTTCAAATAAGTATTTAAATATTTGAATGAGAAAGTAGGTATCTATTTAGTTATTTATTTAAATTAATTTTCCAGCTAGTATTCAAATACAAATATGTGTCTATTTGTAACTAAATGAAATAATGTATGAAATATTTCAAATTTCGGTGTCAGATTTCTGTGTTTTTAGTTTTAATTATTTGGATTAATGATTATTGTACATAGATAAAATTACGTAAGTTCTAATACATTTTTTTTTGTAGTAAACGTATGTCATTATCTGCAGTTAGAGGTATTAGACCTCTAAATGTTTTTATTATTATTTTGTTTTTACTTATGACAATATGGTGTTTTAAAATACAAACATCGTGTATTTTTATTAAATGATTAAAACTTAAGTAGTGCTTAGTTACATACTTGCTCCTTCTTCTGGGCAAATTATATAAACTTATAGTTGATAAATGTTACAAATTACATTACAAATATTTGAGATATTTTTTATTTTGCTCCCTTTTATTCCTATTTTTTACCTATGTGATACTGAGTTTTATATAAATAAGTGGTCGTTAAAAATGACATAATTCTATGATAAGTAAAACCTACTAAAAAAAGTATATCTAGTATAAACAAAAAAAAATATTATTTATTAGTCATAATAAAATATACATTTCTATAAATTATGTATACCTAATAGAAAATAAAAAACTATTTATATGAACAAAATTTCATGGTAATAAGTGTTATTTATAACAGGTTACGCGTGGCTTCTTAATCATGTAATTTCAATTTATTTTTTTCTTTCCCCTTTATCGTCTATACATTTAGCGATTACATTTTAATAGTCACTTTAATATTTGATGTTAACAATAAGCCGGGAAAAAATATCATAGCATTGCAAAAAGTTGTTGAAAACACAATTTAAAAATACTGTATGAAAGATTTTAATTTGTATTTAATATTTTTAAAAACTAAATATAATAATATTATCATTCCAAAAAACACTAAAATATATACTTTTTACAAAGTTTTAAGAGGACGTCGCATCCGCATGTGTTGTTTGAGTCTCTACTTACACACGAACAATATAGTAAATTTTCATTCGCTAATTGCAATGGTATGTTCTCTTAATGACTTAAAACAAGGAAAAAAAAAATTATAATTTTTGTAATAATTAGTTTCTTCAGTGAAATAAATCGCTTGGTACACAATAATCACAATCCAATAAATATTTTCCAATCGAACTCATATGAAAATCAGTTTACTTAATAATTTATTATTTAGATCTCAAATGTCTGTGGCCATTGTACACGGACTTCACTGTGCTGCAAATCGAGTATCGAATAAGTCTGGACTCGGACTGCGAGTAACTCAAAAAGATATGTCATTAACTCAATTCGGTTTCATGGGCTTATCGTTGTTGAAAAAAAAAGAATTAGCTATTGTAGGCACTGAAGAAGACGAAAGGGCCCTTTTGCATTTTTGGCGTACTATTGGCTTCATGTTGGGAATTCAAGACAAGTGAGTAACGTATACAGTTATTTTATTGGATTCGTAGTTATTTTGTATCTTGGTGCGCGTGTCAAATGAAACAATATCGTTATTTACTTATCTATTTTTAATTGTTTACACTAAAACTCTACAATAGCACAAAACAATATATAGAAAAAAAAAATCGAAATTATGGAAACTACATTTATATCAAATATTTTAATTATTTTGCATTCGTTATAAGCACACTGCGTTATCGCACTAATGAATAACATTGATATTATTTAAATAGTAGGTACATACATTTATTAGTTATTACCAATCTATGTTATTATATTTTTTGATCAGTGTGAAGTCAATGACATTTTTAAAAATTGATTTTCTTTAAGCAAAGTTTGAAAAACTTGTAGCATTTAATGAATTTTAATTATTTCTAATTCAGTTTAAACTGTTACTTAAGTGGACATTAAATCAATCATTTTTAATAGTAAAAACATGTCCACGATAAACAAACTAAACGGCATTAAATTGTGGACAACACCATTGGCGTTTTTGAAATATAAATTATCAAAGAAGTTATCTTTTATGACGAATTTCATAATTGGAATAATACAAAACTCCGATGAGATTGTATCGAATAAAATGTCGTTCTCACAATAGGCGTTTTTGTTCTGAAACCAATTTTTAATGCGGTTTTGTTTGTTTTTCGTTAATAAGTTTATGCTGTTAGATTTAATTGTCATTACTGTAACGTGCTTGTCACCTGTCTACCGTTTTGATATCGGTCGCAATTTCTCAGCTACGCTCAAAAGTAAATTTTCACTCGACTGTGGCGCGATAACAGTTGGTTATCAGTGACGACGACGCTTCTAGGAATATAGTGTATAGACAATAGATTAATAATTTAGTAAAAAAAAATGATGATATTCGAGTACACAATAAATATTACATGAAATAAGAATAATTTATATTTATATTATTATAATCGCCGACCGACTATAGTTTACTCAAATTTTGTATTCAATCATTTTCATATTAAAATTACTAAAACATTATGAACATTCCAATATTTACAGATAGTGGGTATTAGGTGCTCGAAGTATGCATAATTTGTCCAACATTCAAGTGTCTATTCACACACAAAAAAATAATATTGAATTGTGTTGACATTTGTACACTATTCAGAGGGATATTAATGATGTACACCGAATAACTCAATACCCCTAATATAAACAATTTTATTTTTTATATATTGTTAGGTGTGGTTAAAGTATAGTTGTGTTGTAAAATCGTATACATTTTTCTGTATAATACGTACACATCACTTATAATTTCAGAATATCAGTATGACCTTAAAATTTTATCCAGGGAAATTAATTTAAAAAAAAATATGATTATTTTATTTAAATATTTGTTAATAATATATCAATTAAAAAAAACATAAAATACATTTTATTCAACTCGTTTTTATTATTTAAACAAATAGAATATAATATATTGTGTGGTCTGTCAGGATGTGAGCTATTTAAGGGGATTCGATATCGACCGTTTTAAGGAGTTCAATACAGGCAATTTTCTAAATATCTGCACGTGGATCGTGTAAAACTGTAAAATATGTGATACTTGTGAATAATAAATGATAATCAGCAAATATCTACAAATGTATATCATAAATAATAATATACAACATAAATATTAATTATTAATATTTTTTTATTTATTTGTTTTTATCAAAAATATAAATGTTTTGCTAATTGTTGTATTAACTTCTTAGTAAATACGATGATTGTTTTTTCGTGAATCCTATTATTATAATATAGAGTAGGAAATAACTAAATAAACCGATATTATGGTTTTGTGATATATAAAAAAAAATAATAAATAAATGATATTTTTATTTGACACGATTGCGCCAAAATGACATTTTATTATTTGTACGATTTTGTGTTATTTTATATATTATGATAAACCGTCAAATGCCCAGCCTGTCCTATAATAGATCTGTACCTAACCCGAAATTATAATATTATTATTATTATTGACACGCACTCAGGTACAACCTGTGCAGCGGATCGCTGGAGGAGGTGCGGGGCACGTGCGCGCTGATCCTGCGCGACGTGTACGGGCCGGGGCTGCTGAGCCCGCCGCCCTCGTTCGATCACATGGTGCAGGCGCTGCTCGAAGGCATGAAGCCCATCTCGCCCATGCTGGACATGGACGCGTTCCTGGCGTACTCGCACGAGCTGTGCGGCGTGCCGGTGCGCGCGCCGCTGGTGGCCAGGTACAGCCGGTGGATGTACAACGTGCAGGTGTACACGCACTCTGTGCTGCTGAGCCGCGCGTGGCTGGCCGTCGTGTTCCGGCCACTGCTCAACTACAACATGAGGTTCTCGGTGTGGCTGAACATCAACTTCCCGATCGGCGCGGCGCTTCGGTTCGGCACCAAAGTGTTCCACCGGGTCCAGGACAGCGCGGCCCCGCACGCGGTGGCCGCCACGCACTCGGTTGCCGCCGCGCACTCGGTAGCCGCCGCGCACTAGACGCGCAGACGCGCAGCCGCCGCCGTGTGCCGTGGCTGCTCGGTAAACCGCCCCTATACTTCACCATAACTGCGTCACCGACAGTCGTAATAATTGTAGTGTGTAGTGTTATGTTACGTTTTTTATTTTATTTTATAATATTTGTTATATTGAAAACCGTTCGGTTTTAGAGCGTCCTCCGACCCCTCCCCCCCAAATTGGATTCGAAATGACGAAACGGTAACGGCCGTTCGTTCGAATCGCTCGAGATGAATAAAGTCCCTCGAGTTCGAATTCGCGGAAAGTCCAGTACCGATACTAATTTTTTTTTTATTTTTACATTTTTTTTTTACGCAGATACGTTTAAGACGAATGATAGTAAGAAAAAGTGAACGGATGCGCGTTTGTGACTAGCGGTGGTGCCCCGTGACAACGTTATATTACACCATGATATTAAAAACCGATCGCTTTTAGCGTGCCCCCCTTTCACCCACTTAAATGTTCATCCCCAGCAAAACTCTGTTGCCGCGTTTCCGAGCTATAGTATGTGCCTTATACTTATCGACGTTTCTAAACATATTTTCAATCGCGTACCCCCATGACCTCTTGCAGTCCGTTCACGCTTCTATCGTCAATTCGAAATAGAAACGATACGATATTATACGTTAAGTTATAATTATTTATTTTAATCACTTATAAAATATAGTGTTATTATGTAAATGTAATGTTAGCATAATTATACAACTATTGTTGTCTTCTTTACAGACCTTACGGGAATGTTTCAACTCAGGTTTATCGATTAAATTAATTATTCATTTTTTAATATTTATTTCCCATTTTCGATGATCGTTTACTGTTGTGCTTATAAAAGTTTCATTGTACATCCGTCACACGTGTTTTGGAATTAAAAATATATCGATATCGACCGTGACCTTTGTCCTATACGTATATCGGTTGTAGTTATGCAATGTTATCGAATTCGTCTTGAAAATTAAAGTTCAGTTACGTAAACCGTGTGAACTTATAAATCATATTTCTAATCATAAATCACGACGTGCCCATATAATATTTGTATTATAAATAAATTATAATTTATTACTTATTAACGTGTAAGAATATTTATAAGTAATAACTTATGAATATGAGAATGCCGATTTATATCCGTTTCCTCTCTGTAGATGGGTTTAAATAGGACTTGAAAGATTCCGTAAACGTTTCTGGGACTCTGGGTTAAGCACAACATAGGTAAATTCTATAAACAAAATAGGCCGGTTTATAATATTAATGAATAATTGTTAAATGGTGATTACTGATTAGTTATTTAGTTATACGAATAACAATAATAGGTTATATGACCAAAATAGTTAATAATTTAGTTATTATATTTGCAGGATTTCAATGATGAATTTTATATTGTGATATGCTTGTTAATATTGAAAATTATTTTTTTAAGAGCTACACATATTGGGCGTATGTATTTAGTTTTGATGTTAACATATAGTTTTAATATAACTTTTTAATAACAAATAAAGTTTGAGTAATATTTAAGGTTTATTTAACGCTGTATAATGAAGAAATTGTATTGATTATTATAATTATGTATATTTTTATAATCACGATCAAAAATCGTTTAAGTATTTCTATATTTTATCAAAGACGTTTTATATGTTTTAATGGCAACGTACTCTGTATTAATTGTTTTAAATACTGATTTTCACTTTGAAATGTATTTATTGTTTATCGTTCGAGCGTTTTATTTGTAATATAATGTTTTAATAATACGGATCTGTTACAGTGTAAATAAATTAATTGTAAAATATGTTAACAAATGTGTAATATAATATATTGTACTATAGTGTATTACTTATAGCAAAGTTGAGCTGGAGTGTTACGCGTAATCTTTTTACAATAACAATAATAATTGTTGTCTATACTGTACAGCGGTCATCCACTGCACCCGATAGGGGCGATTATTTTATCAAATCTTTCAAACGATAATAGATGCACACTATAAAGCTACTAGAAAATAGTAAAGTTAAATTGGTGAATTGCAGAACTATATTAACGACCGTTTCTTGTCGTGCAGTTCTATAACTTTAAAACGACGTATAATAATATTGTTGATACTTTTTACTGTCTTGTACACCATACCGTCACGTCACAAAATAAACCATTTTTAGCAGATGCATTTTTCTAAGCAAAAAACCTTTGCAAAAAATTACAATATTTATTACAGTATTTATTTTACGACGCAGTTCTTGCTATAATAAAATTCTATTGTTTTGGAATCACTGGTTATTGTTACGTGGGCGATAACGGTGTCATAAAATACTTCAAGGTTTTGAGAAAAACAACTCAGAATCGCATAAATTATACGTACCTACTTAATTACCTATAGTATTTAGATAATTAATGATGAAATTGGATTTCGCTCTGCCGTACGATGTTTAAGTTTACTAGCGTACATATTTTTTGTCATTGAGTAGTTTACCGTGTAACGAATAACACATGCATGCGGTATAGACTATTGCTTAAGAAGAAAACGAATCTTAATGAAGTAGGCGGTTGGAAGACCAGTATCTATTCCTCGGGAGAATAGCTAACAATATATTCGGTATTATTTTTACTGATATTACTTTTGCATACCAATCACCATTAAAGACTAAAATATCGGACAGAACACCGCCAATTCTACTGCAATCAGAGTTACAATATTAAAACGTGATCAACGATATAATATTCTGATTGTTGACGAGCTTCTCATACGTATTAGTATACCTTCTCGACAATTAGAGGACGCTGTACAGTCGGCAATTCTATTTTACTATTAATCACATTCATGCCCCTGTTGATACTGTGACGGTGGTCCATAATATGCAAAACGTAGATAGATTATGGTGGTTACTGGTCAGTGGAGTGTTGCAACAAAGTCCACAGACTGCAGAGAGAATGTATTAAAAAACCTTCATTCATAATTGGCAAAATCCCATTAGTTCGAAGTCGAACTTAATTTAATTCAATTTTTAGGCATAATTATTTTTTTTCCTAAAAAAACAGTACTTATTTTGTATAATCGTACTCATTATTTATTTTATTTATAATTATTATAATAGTATTATTCATTTTAATTTTTCAAATAATATTGTTGAATATCAAGTTTTAGATTCATACGTAAAAAAAAAAATAGACAAATGGGTACCAATCTGCTGTATATGAGGTGTTAAATGGGTCACTATTTTAAGCGTGTTTAGTTTTAATTCAATGTTATATTATTGTATGCGAAAAACGATTCAGACCGGAGACGGTCTATTAACCTATATTACGCTATGAATATATTTCATGATATGTCCTTTACATATAGCTATTAAAGTAATTTATTTTACTGTAAGTAGTACGGTAGGTTGATACATTTTTTATTAATAAATAATATCGTAAAATAAATCAAAAATGTCATAGTAAAACTCACAATAATATTATACAGGTACCTGAACAGGTATATGTAAAAGTTATGAATTCCAAATAATAATGTTTTTAAATTATAAAAAAATAATTAACATCGTTATTGAAGGTTTAAATAAGTAATTTCGTCTAAATTTGAAAAATAAACTACTTTTTTTTATTAATACATTTGCTTCATCTATTCTGTATTTTTTATAATACTGCTTATGAAACATTATTTTTTAAATAAATAGGCACAGATATTTGTAATTTTTAATTTTTACGGAAATTATTAACTTAATTTATTTGTATATATATTTAATACTTTAATTAATTTAAAATATTTAATTAATATTACGTTTAAAATATAAACATGTGAAATAAATATTTATAATTTTACTAATTACCTAAATACAAGTGAACAAAAAACACGTGACCTCGTGAAACTTAATATACATATTTATATTTATTCATCTGTCAACTACTTTAATATAAATATTATACAGCATAATAATTATGTTTTATCGGGGCACTGTGTCGTCATATTTATAAGTTATAACTAATTGAGTTAATCAGTGGCCAGTGATGAATATTATCTACTGAAAATAGGTTAATTGAATATTTTTATAAATACATCCCAGCATCCCGATTAAGTGTTTAGGCAGCTCCGGGGCGGCTTACTGTCACTGAATATTATAGTTTAGTAATTATTATTATTTTATTTATTTGTTTATCTAAAGTTTCTTAATAGAAAAATAATATTATCAATAAATGATAAACAAAATGGTTATGTGATTGATGATATACATTTTAAAGTTGTTTTCCGGTTTGGTAATGACTTTCATTGACATTATATGTTCATTGTTTCCGTTCCAACGTTACAAAACGATAATCTTTTCAAATTTTTTTGAATTTTGTCGGTTTGTTATTCTAATTTGCGACGTTTAGTTCATTTTGTGATTATAATCGTTTTTTATAGAGACGTTGTACACTGCTGAAAATTATATTGCGTGTATATCTATATGCCTGTGTGTGGTATTTTAGTTAACGAAAAATAAGTTTAGATGTTTAGACTGGTCGTGGATTCTCACGGAGAAGTGTTGCAAGATTTTTCCATATAAATATACAAAAAACGCAATGAACAGGTAAGTTTTGTATTTAATGTGCTTGTGCATACGTACTATAAACAGTAGTATCATACCAACGAATAATGATTATTTACTATGCATATATTGCACACGCATATAAGAATTTTATGCATACGCTTAAATTTTTTGTCTAATAATATTGTTTCATCTTACTCCTTACAAATATTTGGTTTCTAAAACTATATTATTATGATGTTTACTACGAATTAAAGTACTTTTGTTTGTCTATAATGAGCGCCTTAAAAAATGACCAATATTTAATCAAAAAACCAAGTACAGAATTCATCATCAAACTTTATCGGTAGATGTCGCTGTAAGTACTGTACTGGAAGATGAGAGACACGTTTTAGAAAATACTCCACTTTCACTAATTCATAGTTAGGAATTTATTATTGATTACAATTTTTGACAAAATGTTATTGATTAGAATCTTGAAATTTAAAGTCATCTCTAACAAGTTTTTCTTGTAGAAATTTAAAAATACAATCTTTTACAAACATTAGAAATACAAAAAACAAATTGTTGAAGTCATGAACATTTTGACATAGTAGATCATTTTAACAGCTAAGGAATGAACATTTAAAAGTTTTAAATTTAAAATGTTTAAGCTTTTTTTACATAAAACTAAAATTTATCAAAATAAGTGCTTAGAATTTTCATTTACGCATATTTCAAGTTAAAATTTTCAAATATTTCCGACGATCACAATCACGTGTATACTATTACATAAATTTATGAATGTATCTTTAGCGTTGAGCTTTTATAATATAATATATTAAAATACTAAAATATTATTATATTTTATAGGATATCTAATCAGTAGCCATATAACACTGTAACACCGTAGTGTAGCAAATTTTACGGTAAACGACGTATACATAAAATTATTGGAGTATTATAAATTATAGCCTTTTTAGTATTTTTCAAAAAAAAAAAAAAAAAAATGATCTGTTTAAATTATGTATTTTTTCACATCTTTATTTTTTGTTGATAGTTCCAAGGAGATAAATAATATTATAATAATTTTTCATTGTTACAGTAAATATCCAGAATTTACGCAATGGTGGTTGACATAGAATATTACAATTAAATAATAGATTTGAGTATGATTGGTTAATCTTCTGAAAAACGTTAATAAAACATTAATATTATTTATAAGAAATTATTTTTTTATCAAGGGCAGTTTAATGTTTAAATTAAATTTATCTAGATAAGGCAATTTGTTATCTAAGATGACTATCAGATAATTAGAACAATAACTAACTAGATAAGTATCAACACTATAATGGCGCTTGAGTAAGAAATACATAATTTTAATTTTAATAGATAAGGTTTTGCAATTAAAATTACCTTTACAAGGTTTATATGAGTTGTTCTTACAGCAATCTATAAATATCGAAAACACAAAGGCATATTTATTTTTTATTTTATTTAAGTTTAAATGTTGACAAATTTTTATATTCAAACGTATAATAACTATTATATCTCTAAAGGATTAAATTATTTTGTTGTAATTTAAAAAAAAAAAAATGTTAATCGTAAAGTCATAAAAATTCTGGCTAATGCGTAAATTATTATTACCTTAATAGATATCTAGATATTGTGAGGGGTTTTTGTAAGTATTAATTTATAAAAGTGTGGCAAAATGCGTTTCAAAATTATCGACTAATTAATTAATTTCTATTATTCATATTAAATATTACAATAACTATACGAGTGCAAAATGACTACTTTAAAGGT